CTGTAATTCTGGCTACTCAGAAGGTAAAGATAAGAGGATGGTATGTTCAAGCCAGCCTGGAAAACTTAGCAAGACCTTGTATCAAAATAAAATTTTAAAATATTTGAGGATGTAACTCAATGATAGAGCACTTGCCTAGCATATGCTAAGCCCTAGGTTGAATCCCTAGTATTGCCAAAACAAACAAGCAAACAGAGATTTAATGGTTAAGAATGCTTCCTTTTCTACAATTTACCACTGATCCCAACAAGCCCCAGCAAAGTAAAACTAGTGAAAGACAGACCCTCTCCCAAGTAACCTGAAGTCAATAGGATAGAGAAAGGTAAGGGGTGGTAGCAGGTGCCTATAGTTCAACCTACTTGGGAGGCTGAGGCAGGAGAATTGCTTATTCCCAAGAGTTTGAGACCAGCATGAGCAACAGAGTGAGACCATGAATCCAAAACAAAACAAAACAAAATAAAAACAAAGATTAACAACAAAAAGAGTATTCTCTCCCTCTCTTTCCCTACCATGTGAGGACTGAAAAGAAAAGACAGAAAGACAGTCACCTATAAGTCAGGAAAAAGAAAATAGAGAACAAACAAAACTGAAAATGTTAATGGAATCTGAAGCCTCTGGAAACTGGAACTATTGCAAATATTCAACAAACCCAACTCCTAGACAGATAACATAAATCCTCACACAAAGACCTGTTTACATCAGTTCATATTAGCAGATGCAATACATCTAGCTTTCAAAATACTATAAGACATGCTAAATGCCATGAAAAAAAGCATAGTCAGAAGAGAAAAAGCAATCATCAGGACCAGACTCAGCTATGACACAGATGTTAAGAGTTATCCAAGGAACATAAAATAACTATGATAAGCAGGGCACAGTGGCACACACCTTTAATCTCAAAGGCTCAAGAGCCTGAGACAGGAGGATCGAGAGTTCAAAGCCAATATCAGCAACTTAGCAAGACTGTGTCTCTAAATAAAACGTGAAAAGGGCTTGGGGATGTATCTCAGTGGTTAAGCGCCCCTGGATTCAATCCCTGGTACAAAAAAGAAAAGAAAAGAAAGGAAATAACTATGATGAATATATTAAGCACCTGAATGAAAAAAGAGCAGACAGCACTTAAGAAAAAAAAATGAGTAATATAAGCAGAGAAGAAATTCTAAGAAAAAAACTTAAAAGAAATTCTACAAGTCAAATACACAGTAACAGAAATGAGGAATGTCCTTGATGGGCATATCACACCAAAGCTGATGGAAAAAAAAAATGCATTTGAAAATACGTCAACAGCGCCAGGCCTAGTGGCACACACCTGTAATCTCAGCTATTCCCAGCTGAGGCAGGAGGATCACAATTGTGAGAAACTTAATGACAACCTGTCTCAAAAAATAAAAAGAGCTGATGGTATAGCTCAGCTGCACAGTGTCCCTGAGTTCAATCTACATTACTGAAGAAAAAAAAAAAGACACAAGGATAAAAATTATAGCAAACTTCTCAGAATCCACATAAGCAAGATAGTAGAGTAAAACATCTAGTGTTGAAAGAAAAAAAACCTAATGTTAATGAAGAAAACATATTGAGACATACGTTCATATAATTCTGATTGAAAAAATCTTATAAGTTTCTGGATGAAATAATAGTAGAGTATTGCAGGTAAAAGAGATATCCTTGCTTCCAATGTCTCCTCTGCGATAGAAGGAGCAAAAAGACAATGAAATTATAAGAAAAGAATTTTAATCCAGGAATCCTGTATACACACACACACACACACACACACAATGGTCTTTCATTTGAGAGGTCCAATACCAAATGTGATCAAATGGGCAAGGCCTTGAGGAATAAAGCACCCACAAATTTCTGCAGGGAAAATGCTGAAGAGGGAAATGCTCCTTAGTGGGAAACAAGTTCTTGCTATAGATGTATAGTTACAACAAAATGCAGAGTGCTCACATGATCTGCAATACACCATGCAATGTCAAGAACTCTTGAAATAAGAGAGACTCACCAGAAAGGAAAGAGCCAGTAATATCCTGATAAATTAACAAAATAAAGGAGGTTGGGGTAGGGAAGGATGGAATGGAGTGGATGGATTAAAAATTTCTAATGTCAACTAGGGGTAGAACTCAGGGGTAGAGAGTATGCTTAGCATTCACAAAGCCCTGGTTTTAAATCTCCAGCACCAAAATAAATGAATAAATACATTTTTTAAAAGTCAAATTTGTAGAGCCAAGAGTGGTTTTGCATGCTTATAATTCCAGCTGCTCAAGAAGCTGAGGCAAGAGAATTGCAAGTTCAAGGCCAGCCTCAACAAGTTAGTGAGGCCCTAAGTAACTTAGCAAAATACTGTTTCAAATTTTTAAAAAATAATAATAAAAATAAAAAGGGCTGGGGATATGGCTCAGTGGTTGAGCACCCTAGGTTTAATCCCTACAACCAAAAAATGGAAAGAAAATAAAAAACAATTATGGTAAGTGACAATATATATATATATATATATATATATATATATATATATATATATATATATATATATTTTTTTTTTTTTTTTTTTTTTTCCCAAGGACAACTATCAAGTGGAGAGTTCATGTCACTCTCACATTCAGGTAATAAATGATAATGAGATCTGCAATTCAATGGGCACCTCATATTTAGTAGAGTACTTTTCATAGGTAAATTTTAAATATCATCTCATAATTAGAATAAACCTATAACACAGATATTATTTTCCTCATTTAACAGTTAAGGAAATTGAGGCAGAGGGCTAAGGGTGTAGTTCAATTGGCAGAATGCTGGCCTAGCATGTTCAAGGTCCAGCACTGGCAAAAAAAAAAAAAAAGGAAGAAAGAAAAAGAAAACTGTACAGAAAAAGTTTATGATCCTAATTGCCAAGGCCAGCATAAATTAGAACCAAATAATCTGACAACAAACTTCTACTAATAATCATTATATTATGCTCTGCTCTTGGAGAAAATATTACTAACTTCTACAAATCAGAGCTTTTATAAGCAATAACACCTTCTTATATAAATTCTTCTGTCAGGGACTAGAAGGAAATTCTCCTTCAAAGATTAGCCTGACAGCCCCGAAAATGGGCAGCAGACTCCATGTTGTTTGCATCACCATGGTAACCATGGGGTGCCTGGCCAGAAGAGCGGGCTTCCTGGTCCCACCTCCCACACTTTCGCGGGCGTCCGATTGGTTCTTCCACAGTCACTCAGACAGGACTTCTAGTTCCGCCTTCCAGCCACTAATCTGTACTACTGTGTTTCAGATTTATACCTGAGCTGTTCAGAGCCTGTATTTTTAAGAATGCCTACCTGTAAATGCTAACGAAAGATATCTTTTTCAGACAAAATTTAATTCCACAGCTTTCTATGTTGCAGCCCTAAATTTAAGTTAGTTCTGAGTTAAATAACCTAACTTTTCTCTATAGTTGTGTTACTAAATAATGTTCTATTGATGAGAGAGATCAAACATGCTTCTTTATATTTTACTTTTAATTTTGGAGGTTATGAGGATGCATTTGCTCGCCACAGGAACAAAGCCGGCAATGTTCCTGTGATTACCAAAAAATCCTTATTCTCATTCCTAACTATAAAAAATAAATATGTATACTCAACAAGGATTTTATTTCAGTTACATTAAGTGACGTCACATAGAAGAGTGCACTCCTAGTTAAAAATAAATTAAAATGGATCCAAATATTTTAAGACCACGTGGTTACATAAAATTAATACAATTATAAGTTATGTTCTTATTCTTAATATATATATTTTTAAGATATTTAGATAACCTATATTTGTTAATCTATAAAATAATTAGCACATGCCTAATTGATTAGTTAATATATATTTGCCTAATTGTTTTTCTTCAACAGAAAACCCATTATTTATGTTTTGTATTTACAAGTATCAGATACTCTGCCTTTTCAGTTACAGATATTTGAGATAAATGTGTTTACTATAAATTTGCTTTTAAGTGAAAATACCATCTTCAAGTTACTGTTCAAACTCATAAGATGATAATTATAATTATGTCTACAAAATATCTAAGGATTTTAACTATATTTTCATTGATATTTCTTATCAAAGTACAATAATTTGTTTATAGATTCTAAGGTTTTCAGAAATTGTTCCAAGTATAACAAAAAAAAAAAAAAAAAAATTCTAAAAGAAAAGGATGCTTCAACAAAGAAAAAGCACACCTGGATCCTAAAAAGAAAGAAATCATCTTTGGGTAAAACAAGGTCTTTATATTCATATTTCAATGATAAAATTATTTTCCTAAGTAAAAAAGATTTTTATATTGCTATCTAAACAGATGATGTAAAAAGTTAGAAAGATTAAAAAAGAGATTTATATATACTAAACTGACTATAATTAATTTAAGGGTATTTCAGGCTATTTTTCCTAGTTTAACTATACTAATGTGAGCTAAGATTTTGTCCATATTTTGACATGATAAGCACCTATTAAAATGTAAGTTTATTTCTTTAAAGAAAGATCCTTATTGCCTAATAATTCTTACTGTTTAAGACAAAGATTAATTTTGGTAAATAAATTCACATTGTTGATTAAACATTTAAGTATATTGAACTACTAACTTAAATCCGATTTTAACAATTGTCCTTAGAGACTAAAATCAATTGATTCTAAGACACTGAGATACTAATTTTTACATATTTTGTTTGTTAGATAATCATAAAATTAAAAAAAAAAATAACATTTTATTAAGACTAAGGTTCTCCAAATTAAAGTTATATTAATTTTAAACAATAAAGGTTACAAACTTAAAAAAAATTCATTGATATTATATAAGTTCTCTGACTAGATCTATTGTCCATAAAAAATACAGTAAGATTTATATACTGCTCCCTACACAGGAAATAACCTTAATCATATTTTTTAAAGGCAATTAAGAGATACCTATTTAAAGGATAATATTCTAAAATATAGATTTTGGGATCGCCTTAACCATGCATTATTTGCCCTTAATTTTCTTACCCTAGACAGTGAAGGCCATTCGGCCGCAGACAGACACTGGCATCCCTCGTCCAATTCTGTTCGCCCACCTGTAATGTGGCACGATCCCCTTACAAATAAATGGAAAGGCCCAGATCCTGTCCTCATCTGGGGACGAGGCTCAGCTTGTGTTTTGGACCAAGAGCAAGCAGCCCCAAGATGGTTACCAGAACGCCTGGTTAAACAGGTTAATGACTTACCTCAACCCAGGGACGGAGGCCCTCCCCCTGAGGACAAATTTTCCTCTTTTGCAGATGCAGCCAACAATCTGTGTGAGGATCCTGCTTAAGGCACTTCCGCTGAACAGGTTTGTATACGGAGGCCTTAGCCCTCCACCTTCCAACATCAGGAAGTACCTTTTTGGCCCCCCCTGCAAATGCAGGGGAGGATCTTGGACTCAGGCTCCCACTAGTTGGACCCAGACTGCTGACTGCTTGACTAAGGTGGCTTACCTCCGTGCTGAGGTTGACCATCAACTCGGAGGATTTCATCAGCCTGAATGGGTATGTGTTAACAAGCCAAAGATTATTCCCCCCAGTACAAGTAAAGCTCTCCAAAATTGTTCTGCAACTTGTACGCATACCCAGGCTATGCATGTCTCTTGTTATGCGTCAGCCTCAATTTGTGTTAACAAGCAGGGAGAACAATTTTTTGAAGCCACCCTAACTAAAACTCATGCAGCAGAGGGGACCACTATTCATTATACCCCCCTCCTCTTTGACCGGGGAGGAGAAGGCATATATACCAAGTTACAGTCAGCTGGATGCCAAGGCACTGTTGGTAAACCCTCCTGCTGGCCCATTAAGGCCCCTACAGGGGTCTCTGATGGTGGAGGACCCACTGATGCTGTCAAGCATCTTCAGATAATCAAACTTTTGAAACCCCAAATCCCTGAGCTCACATATCATCCCTTAATGCTGCCTAAATCCCAGCTCCCAGATTTAGATACCAATACATTAGATATTTTGAAAACTACCTTCTCTTTGCTTAATTCCAACCCCACCCTTGCTGGTGATTGCTGGCTTTGCATGACAACAGGGGCAATCATGCCTATGGCAGTTCCTATTAATTCTATCATAGACAGTGATAATACATGCCAACCTGGATTTCCTTTTAAAGTACAGCCTATAGGCACTTTTACATCATGTCTTTTAGGCGCGATGCAGAATAATACCTATGACATTGATGTTGGAGTTACTTCCTTTGGAAATTGCTCAACAGTAAAAAATTATCCCTCACCCACCCCATCTCTTTGTCCCCCCAATGGCACAGTTTTTATGTGTGGAGGAAACTCAGCCTTCCCCAGGCTTCCAGCGAATTGGACCGGTGGCTGTGTTCTTGCCTTATTACTCCCTGATATAACTATTGTCCCAGGAGATGAACCTCCACCCATTCCTAGCCTAGACACCTTAGTCAAAAGACACAGGCAGGCAATACAGGCCTTACCACTCCTTGCCAGCCTTGGAATAACAGCTGCTGTGGGCACAGGTACCACTGGCTTAGGCACGGCTATACACTCTTACCGTCACCTATCTCAACAACTTATAGATGATGTACAAACTCTATCAGGAACCATTAAAGATTTACAGGACCAAATAGACTCCCTGGCAGAAGTGGTCCTTCAAAACAGACGAGGCTTAGATTTGCTGACAGCTAACCAGGGAGGTATTTGCTTGGCCTTAGGGGAAAGATGCTGCTTTTATGCCAATAAATCAGGCATAGTACGCACTAAAATTAAGCAGCTTCAAGAAGATCTAGAAAAGAGAAGAAGGGAACTATTTGAAAATCCCCTCTGGACTGGGCTTAATGGATTTTTACCCTACCTTCTTCCCTTATTAGGCCCTTTGTTGGGTTTGCTTTTAATGGTGTCCATAGGACCCTGCATTATAAACAGGCTGGTACAATTTATTAAAGAACAGATTAATATTTTGGCCTCTAAGCCCATACAGGTCCACTATCATCTTCTGGAGATGGAAGACTGCGCTGCCAACATTTAAAAGGATGTTCTACCCTTCTTTCAGGCTTATTTCTTAAGTTTACATCCCCACAGATCTCTCTTTCTTATATAAAAGTATAAGTAACAGCTCTGACCAACCATCTTCCTGCCCTTGCCATAAGGGTTCGCTCCTCCATGGGCCCCTCCGCTTGGGGGAGGACGCACCCATGGAGTGAGGACTTTAGGCCATAATGACAGAGGGTGCAGGAAGGACTGCAGGAGGATGGAACCACGGATCCCAAAACCCAAGACCTCTGAGTGACACGCTCTGGTGCATGGCGGTTGGCATGCTCCCCCCTCAAAGCCGTCTCCTCCAAAAACATGCCAAGGCCACCACGAAATCTCCTAGTGAAGACGCTCGCTCGGATCAGGAGATATTCTAAGGCCTTCTAGAGGAACAGAGCCTCTATCACCCCCTAAAAACATGGCCAATAAGGTATGGTCAAATATTTTATACAAGAAAGGGGGAAAATGTCAGGGACTAGAAGGAAATTCTCCTTCAAAGATTAGCCTGACAGCCCCCTGGGAGACATCCTGCCTGGGAGGCATCCTGCAGCTATCTATCTCCCTGAGACATCCTGCGGCCACCTATCTTCCTGAAACCTATCTTCCTGAAACATCCTGCGGTTATCTCACCTTGTGCAGACATCCAGCAACTGCCGATAAGAGAGCTTCCCCATCCCCAGCATATAAATACCCCTGTGTGAACAATAAAAGTTTGCAGCTTGATCAGAACTCTTGTCTTGCTGTCATCCTTCTGTGTCTCTTGTCCCTTCATTCCTCCCCATCTAGGTTCGCTGCCCACGTTGATGTGTCCTGCTGGTCGGGACATTCTTCCAAAGAACAAAGAGGAAATACTTAATATGTGTTTGGAGGCCATCATAAAATTGATATAAAACCTGAAAAAAACATGAGCCGGGCACAGTTGCACATGCCTGTAATCCCAGCAGCTCGGGAGCCTGAAGCAGGAGGATGGAGAGTTCAAAGCCAGCATCAGCAAAAGCAAGGCGCTAAGAGCAACTCAGTAAGACCCTGTCTCTAAATAAAATATAAAATGGGGCTGGGGATATGGCTCAGTGGTCAAGTTCCCCTGAGTTTTAATTTCTGGTACCAAAAAAAAAAAAAAGGGAAAGAAAAAAAAACCAAATAATTTCTACAAATTAATACAGCAGAAACAAACTATTTTTTGTTTCTGAGGATTGAACTCAGAGCCTCACATGTGCTAAACACCTTCTGTACCACTGAACTACACACCTAGTTTCCCCTATTGTTTTTTTTTTTCAATATCTTTATTTTTTTTTTCATTTATTTTTATGCGGTGCAGAGGATCGAACTCAGGGCCTCACACCTGCGAGGCAAGTGTCTACCACTGAACTACAGCCCCAGCCCCTCGACTATTGTTTTTTAATGGACAAGACAGAAACATGCACTTAAATATATGTATATGCATATACATGTGTGTGTGTATTCTATATATATAAGTCATCAAAAAACATGAAAAGATGCTTAATATCATCAGACGGTAGAAAAATACGAATTAAAACCACAATGAGCCAGACACAGTGGTACACACCTGTAATCCCAGTGGCTCGGGAGGCTGAGACAGGAGGATTATGGGTTCAAAGCCAGCCTCAGCTAAAGTGAGGCACTAGCCGGGCGTGGTGGTGCATACCTGTAATCCCAACAGCTGAGGAGGCTGAGACAGGAGAATCACGAGTTCAAGGCCAGCCTCAGCAGTGGTGAGGCACTAAGCAACTCAGTGAGACCCTGTCTCTAAATAAAATACAAAATAGGGCTGGGGATGTGACTCAGTAGTTGAGAGCCCTTGAGTTCAACTCCCAGCACCCATTTAAAAAAAACAAATCAAAACAATGAAATACCACTACACTTGCCAACTTAATACTAAGAAGGAAAAACCAAATAAAACATTGCTAATAATGTAAGGTGCTGACAAGGCTATGGTGACACAGCTGATGAAATTTTTTTTTAAATATTTATTTTTTAGTTGTAGTTGGACATAATACTTTTAATTTATTCATATATATATATATATATATATATATATATATATATATATATTTTTTTTTTTTTTTTTTTCCCAAACCCAGGGTCTCACAGGTACGAGGTAAGCACTCTACCGCTGAGCTAAAACCCCAGCCCGGCTGATGGAATGTTAAGTGGTACAACTATTCTGTAAAACCTCTTGGCAAAAATCTATAAAGGCACTGACCTATCAATTTCACTAATGAATGTGTATCACTCAGAATCAAATGCATATGCATACCAAAAGACATGCACAAAAGCCATAATGAGTAACAACCCTAATATGCACAATAGAATGGATAAACTGTGGCATATTCACATAGTGGAAAAAAGCAAATTACTGCTATATGCAACAATATGGGTGATCTCACAGTACAACAGTTGATTTAAAAGAAAACGGTTGATTTAAAGAAGTCAGGCCAGGCTGAAAGGGTAGAAACGCTCTGCTTGCCAAAAGGCCTCCCAAAATGCTGCAGGTATGAAAGAGACAAGTGCCTTGAAACAAAAAGATACTTCTAAAAGGAAAGCAGAATTAGAAGCAGCCGTGAAAAAGAAGGCTGAGTTTAAGAGAAAAGCTTCTACATATTATGGAACAACTTTCAGAAGAAAATTCTTCTTACAGAATTTCTAATGGAGTGTGTACATGCTAACAAATTATTAGTTTTGTAGTACAACACCTTCAAATCTCTGTCAAATGAAACTTCCCTGTATTATTGAAATTAAATTTTTTCTCAGTCATTAAATGTAGGTAATATGCTTTATAATTCATGCTTTTTAGCTCAATTCACAATAGCTCAGCTATGGAACTAACCTAGGTGTCCTTCAACAGATAAATGGATAAAGAAAATGTGGTACATATACACAATGGAATATTACTCAGCTATATGGAAGAATGAAATTTTGGCATTTGCCGGTAAATGGATGGAACTAGAGAATATCATGCTAAGTGAAATAAGCCAAGCCAAATTTTAGACCATCACTAGCAGAAGGGAGGAGGATACAGAAATGCCACGACACCAAGCCAATTGACGGCTCCTTGGGAAAAATTGCATCACTGGTGACACCATCAGCAAAGATATGTCAGCACTACCACAACTAACATGGGGTGCGCTGGCAAGGAAATAAAAATTGCATCACTAGTGACACCATCAGCAAAGATATGCCAGCATTACCACAATTCGCTGCACCAAACGATAGTTACATAGTCCAGGCAAGTTCTGCAAGCAGTTCAAAGCGGAGGAATCTATCAATATGTCCATTTCCTCCCAAAATCCGTTTCCTCCCAAAGTAAGTTAACTCCTTGATTGAGCATTACTTGTTGAGTTATATTCATTGATGCATCAGTTTATACAGTTTACTGTGATAGCTATCATAGAAGCTGTAGTCTGGTTGTATCTTTGTCTTCACCGGCACTGGGATGAAGATAGGAATTCTGGCAATGATGCTAAAGAGACATTATCCTGAAAAGAATTATTAAATATAATGAAAAAGAAAGGTGAAAGTAAACAAACAGATCTGTTAACCTACTTTAAAAACAATCCTTAACAGCTGTTTACCTAATTTAAATTAAACCATTTAAATCACGTGAATAAAAAAATAATAATAATAATTCGGATCCATTTTTTCATGAGCGCTCCTCATATAAGAAATATGGACATACACACATACAAACATACAACACAAAACACAAGAGTGTACACAAACATACAACACATAATAGTAAAGGCCTTGTAGCTTTACCTGGGTGAAATCTCCATTGCAATGTTTGAAAACTCCACAGTCAAAAAATAAAACTGATCAGAAAAACATTAACCTAGGTTTGTATGAGCTCAAAAAATAAAAATAGAACCTTATGATGTGGAAAAATGCAATAATAAAATAGCTATTGAAAAAAGCATCCTGGTTAATCACTGTCGCAGATGTAAGAATGGCCAAGCTGGAGTTCTGGATATCAGCTGTTATGGATTTGAGTCAAATCATCTTCTTTTCGATCTGTAGAAATTGTTTTAGTTAATCTCTCTGGAATCCAAATCGGCCGCTGTTCTCCCTGTGGAAAAACACAAACAGACCCCCGACTCCAGACAATCACTGGGTCAGGACCTTTCCATTGTCCTGTTAGAATATCTTTCCAAAGTACTTTAGGCTTATGTACATTTTTTGGATACATATGCCTTTCCGCAGCACTAAGTCCTGATGAATCCAAATTTTAAAAGTTTAGAGTAAAAAGGGTTATTTTAAGTTTATCTTTGGGGGATATATACCCCTATCCAATTCCCTCTTTTTGCTTTAATAAGTATATGTCTGTATCTAATAGTTGTCTTAGCTTTTTGCATTTTCTATCTGTGTAATACCTTACTTGACATTTTCAACCATTTTCTATCTTATTTCTATCTTCTAGTTTTTTTTCCTAAGGTTTGTATTTTTACCCTTAGTTGCTTATTTTCCTCCTAGTTTTTTTTTTTTCCTATTTTGTGGGTTTAAAATTCTTGTCTTCCTACATTTTTTTTTATCTTTCTACATCTTCTTTATCTTTTTTCTTTTTAACTTTCTATACTTCTGTCTTTAAAGTTTTTCACTTTAAATTTTTAATCTTCTTTATCTAAATCTTTTATCCTATTATCTTCCCATTTTTTTTAAAGTAATGCCTTTAAGATTAAGCTTCTTTCCTCCATCATGAAGGCATTTTAACCACCTTCAATTTAACCTTTTAAAGCCTTTTAATTATCATCTATACTGTACTTTTAAATGTACTTTTTCACCACCTACAACTTCACTCTTTTAAACGAGGTTTAGATTCTGTTTAAATTGCTTTAATGTTAGTTTACATGGCTGCCCTTCAACCAAAGGCCCTTTTTTTTTTTTTAACTCCATTGAGAAGCTCTGTCTCAATCTGCCATGTACAAATACCTTTTTCTTCTTTCTTCCTTTCTCAAGCTTTTAAAGTAAGTCTAGTTTCCTCAAAATCTTTTTAAATGGCATTTTACAACTTTTTACTTTACCACACAGAGATTATCTCATCTAGAAACATTTCTTTTTCCTTTAACCTTTTATATTAAAATATATTTCCACATCTTGAATCTTTTTCTCTCTTTTTAAACCGTTAACCCTTTTTATAAATTCACATTTTGAAACAACTCTTATAAAATTTCTGATTTAGACAAATTACTCCACTTTAATAAGATGAAAGACTTTCATGTTTTTTATGATACTATAATACTATAATTGAAACCCAACTGAAAATTTTTCTACTCTTTGTATATAAATTACACATGATAGAATCTTAACACTTAGTAACCTTGTTTTAGCAAAGACACAGACACAAAGCAATATTAAACATTTTTCCATTTACCAATTTATGAAAACACAAATAATGTTTAAATATATTACCTTATGGAACTTAATAAGTAAAGAGTACTTTATTTCATATTTAGTGGTTGATATTTTAACACTTTAGCTTTGTAAATTAATCAGATGTCTTAAAAACCAAGATCTTAGACAAATGTAGTAAACAGAATTAGCCATCTCTTTCTTGTTGAAGAAAAATCCTTCTATAGGATACCATGATGGTCCCATTGATATACTTAATAACTCGTCTTTAAAAAGCCATGGGCTACATTTTTGTATTGTATCAACATATGCCTTAACTGTTCTTGGTCTTACTGGGGTGCCTCTTTCCTCTAACAATTTCTCTTCCTCGGAGGCGAACAACTTCAAACCTTGAGTCAACCGTTTTCCCCAGTTTGCCTGAGAAAGTTCTAGGAACAGGCAACTTGAAATAAAAACAAAATAAATCAAAACAGGAACACATTGTTTTTTGAATTGATCACCCATTCTCTCGCCTTCCCTCAGGGGCGAGCAATTTCACTTACCTCCAAGCTTTAGAAGTTCCACGCACAGGACGCCAAATGCCGCAGTCTGGCTGGGCACACAATCACGAGCCACCACACAGCTTGTAGATTCAAACAGCAACTCTTTATTTCCGAACTCACACCAGCCGTCTACAATCACGTTCTGGGGAAATCCACGTTCTCTGCCCAAATCCACCTCCACTGGGCTTCTATCTCCCAAAATATACTGTCTGAATCCCGTAAGAACTCAAGGGGAACTCAGGCAGCAGGATACGCCCTATTCCCAGCAGGAATAATCTTAAACCTTAAACCTGGAACCTAAACCGGAACGCCCTAATCCGCCTTGGTCCTTGAGCAAGGTCACCTACATTCAATGTCACTGTAACATGGGGTATGCTGGCAAGGAAATTGTCATACCTACTTGGCTAATGGCTCCCAGCAAGCCAATCCCCAAAAACCAAAGGCCAAATGTTCTCTCTGATATGCAGATGCTGACTTCACAATGGGGAATTACCAGATTGGACAGGGCAGAGTGGGGGGAAGCGAGGAGGGATGGGAATGGGAAAGACAGTAGAATGAATTGGATATAACTTTCCTATGCTTGTATATGAATACACAACCAGTATAACTCCACATTATATACATCCATAAAAATGGAAAGTTATACTGCCTGTATGTATGAGATGTCAAAATGCATCCTACTGTCATGTATAACTAAAAAGAACAAAATTTTTAAAAATAAAAATAAATAATAATTCATGCATTTCAGTGGTGTACACCTTTAATTCCAGCAAATTGGGAGGCTAAGGCAGAAGGATCACAAGTTCAAAGCCAGCCTTGACAACTTAGTGAGACCCAGCCTCAAAATTAAAAATAAAAAAGGGCTTATGATGTGACTCAGTGGTAGGTGCCTCTGGGTTCAATCCCTGGTACCAAAATAAATAAATAAAATAATCAACTATCATAATATTCATTGCTGTATAATGACTTTAAAATGCATTAATGAAAAATAGCCCAAAAAAAACCACAAATGCTGAATGGTTCATATATATATATATATATATATATATATATATATATATATATATATATATATATATATATAAAAGGAGGC